GTGGTTCTTTGTTTCGTTTTTGGATTCTTGACCCTTTTTTGTCACAAAAATGATAATAATTAATGATATGAGTACTATGAAGAAAATCTAATTAGTTTGTATAAAAAAAGTTCCATGAAACATTCAACTTACCTACAAATATCACGAGCAACAAACTAAAACCGACCACAGACCAAGGGTGAAAGATTTGAGGGATGAGTGACTTTCAGAGAGCAAGCTTTTCCAGATGTGAACGGCATGAGGGGAGAACGTCAGAGACTATGACCCAGTTTGGTACTGTGAGGTAAAATAATCAGATTTAGAGCAAACCTGTTAAGTGTTTGGTAAATTGTAATCAGCTTTGAGCCAAATGCCCATATAGGTGTTTGGCAAATATGTTATTGTAGAAGTGATTGAAAATATGAAGCTTACCTACATATACCATGAGGAACAAAAGCAACAAACTGCAATCGTCTAACCACAGGTCAAGAGTGAAAGATCTAAATGATGAATGATAAAAGGAATGAAGATTAAGGATTGGTAGGAAGCAGAGATGATGACTTAATGGAGCGAGCTTTGCTAGAAATCTTCAGTGGCGGAAATGAAGTGGATGAGGAGATAGACTAAGACGAATGCGAGCATTATATTTATAGGCCTGTATGCACATTGTTCACTCTTCGGTTTCTAAACATATTATTTTTCACGTGAAGTATCAGTGACGAAATAATTCACGATATGATAATTTAGTTTAACTAATCATACTGTACGTGCCCTAATCTTGGCGCGGTAAAGTCTATATATGTAGCTACTAGCTGAGAGATTTTGAATACAGTGCAACATATATGACAACTTCCATTTCTAGCAAGTTATTGTTAAAGCATTAGGGCTTCTTTAATTTGATTACTTTTGGTAATGCCAAAAAAGATAATAAAAGCAAGATATGTGCTAGAATGGTGGGTTTATATATAGCATGATTAGTATCTGGAGGCATGGAGAAGTGAATTTTTTTTTTTTAACAAACTGATATTATCTACACTAAGGGGAGGGGGTGGGCTTAGCCTCACAATAGCTAGTAATAGCATGGTTCAAATTCGTCTTTGGCGATAATTGAACCTAACACCTCTCACTTGCAAGTGAAGAGGAATACCTAAGTGGCATGGAGAAATGATATTTGTGCTGATTGGATTGCCAAAATTACCTGTTTTGCAGCATTGTTATGGGTTTATACATGAGCTTGATGGCCCTCTTGATGGTATCAGTAATGATCTAAAGGACCACCGGTTGGAGGCGAAATGTTTTCAATTTTCAAGTTAATTAGAAATCTCATTAATAACTATTAAATTTCTATACTTAAACATGATGTCTAAAATGTAACTAATTCTATATGAAGTTTGGTGCTAACAAAAATATGAGTTTCTTAATTATGGTATGATTATTAAGTAATCATGTACTTAATTATAAATAAAAATAAAAACCATTTCATCATCACACATATATATAGTACACAATGAAATGATGTATTTTGGTTTGGTCTACTATGAATCTATGATATTCAATTTTTTACTCAAGTGGTGACCGCGTGTAAATGGTGCAATTAGCCTAGCTAACTTGCAAAGCGTTGTATTGAGAAATGTAACTTGCAACGCACGTAAGTTGCTTTCGTGGTAAGGTTGTTTAAAATTTGATTGTTGGAAGACCAAATTAATGTGTTCGGGAATATTTAGCCTGCTATGCTATTATAGTTTTGATTAATGGATTATTTAGGTGTCGTAGATCTACCTATTGGCCGGGTATTAACATTTTCTTGTAGATAAACTGCAGCATATAGGAGGAGGATGCAACACTAACACTAAGAAAATACTGAAACAAGTAATTGAATAACTAATAGTCATTTGACAACAAGGTAATAAATCAAAAACATTGATAATAAACCACCAGCACAACATATCTTTAGCCTCTTACTGGCCTGGGTTTCGGCGACGAATTATCTCCAAAATTCCAAAGGCTTCCGTCCCATGCATTATTGTGCCCCTAGATCATCCCCCGCATCATCATTATTTACCGAAGGAAAAGATAGATTGTCAAAAAAATCACCGTATGGATTCCCAAGCCCACTAGAAAAGTCCCCGTCAAACCACAAATACTGCTCCTCCTTGCTTCTCCAGGGAGTCCACCCATACTGACTCAAATTAAGTAACCGATGCCATGTCTTCTTCACTAGTATCGGCCGCTGGTGGTGGCTGTGGTCCGACAGGCACATCTTCAGCAGCAGCAGCAGCATTCACCCCATCAGCATTTTGATCAGGTGATTCAATGACAGTCGGCTCCTTGGCCTCCACCCCCTCCTGGGTCTCCTCCTTTTTCTCTTCCTCTTCCTCATCTTTTTTCTTCAACTCCTCCTCAACCTTATCTGCCATCACCTCCTCCTTCTTCAGGCGAAGCTCTCTTGCCATTCGCCTTGTCAAAACTCCATGACGACTATGGGGTCCATCAGCATTCGTCATTTTTCTTTCTGAGCTCATTGTCTTCTTATTCATTTTCTGTTTGTCACAGAGAGAGATAGTCTGGGTGAGCTTACTGCGTATAAAGCAGCTATGGAGAGAAGATAGCGTAATCTGAGCTTCTTTGAGCAGAGAAGGGAGTGAAAGTGATTGCCCTCTTATGTACACACAGCTCACCTAGCTGTTAGGGTTTTGATGCAAAAAGATATATTTCTTTCTGGAGTTTTGAGAATAAGTCTTTTCTCGAGAAGATGATATCCCTTACCCAAATATGTCGCGATACTTTAGACTGGGTATGTAGCTGTTTAATTGCTTAAGTTCTCAGATTCAAATTCCTACGAAGCAATAGTATTATCTCGAGATATAACGTGATAAAAACAGTGGACATGCAGCAATGCCACGCGGACTTTCTCCATGCAGAAAATTACAGTTTCTCTTTTCAACATTTCAGTTTCTTTGGGTTATAGTGAGTGCTTTAAATGTTCACGTTTCCCCCCTCTTTTTCTTGTCTTTTTTTCCCATCTGTGCGTGTTTTGCATGCAGCCACACTGTAATTACGTTTCAAATGGCAGTTTCATTGTGTATTTAATTGCATCAGTGTCACTAGGAGTTAAAAAAAAAAAAAAAAAAAAAGTAACGTTCTCATCTTCCGTCAATTGATTTGAGTTTTGGCTTCTTTTTTTCACTTCTTTGGAGGATGAATTCCAAAGCAGACAGAAATTTCAGTCTCACCTTCAATGGAAAACATCTATCAACTAAATGGATTTGTAAAGTGATATGACTTGCTGGTAAATATAATTTGTCAATGGGATTTAAGTGTTGGATACCTAATAATCATTAAATCTAATACTGTGGAATACAACTTAATATGAATGAGTTCATTGTCACCGTTTCATATATGTCATTCTCCAGACTATGGTTTCCAAGTCCGAGTTATGGAAGCCGGGGTTCTGGGGCCTGATCCTGGGGCCAAGGTCCCAAATTCGAATCGATCAATGAGTTTTGTCTAGGTTGAGAGCATAGGAGTCCCATTCTGAGTCAAGCCAGAAATCCTCGTTACTATTATGGTGCAACTTAGAAATGGAACTTTGACATCTCCAAATTTTATGCATAATCCCTTCTCCGTTGTAAATCCCATTTTAAAATCGTCAAACAAGATAGTACGTAAAGTAATTGATCGATTCTGCTTGAAGCAATTTAGAACTACTTGCAGTGATGTGTGTCTTCAGTAACTTAAGATGTCAAATCTGGAACATTAGATTTAGCTAGTCTTGATCTAATTTTTTTTTTAAATTTTTTTGGACAAAGCGATGTCGAATTTGTACAAATGTTGTAGTATTCAGACGTAAAATCACAAGGAATACATATTAGTACTAGAAAGGGGACATATTACAGAAGAAAAAAAAGCGACCGAACTATCATTTACATCAGGATTTTCTCTCCCAACTAAAGATCCTTCCGAACGAACGACAGAAAACTTAAAGGTCAGCTTGGCAGACCGAAACAAATAAGGCAGCAAAACAAGTGCCATATGATATGGTAAGGCAGCAAAGAAACTCAAGCTCAAACATTTCTGACCAGGACTGGAGAATTAGAAATCAAATGAAAAGGTAAGAGATTTGTAGCTCAGTTGATTAAAAGTATTCTCGCTTACACCATTTGCAAAACATTGAGAATTATCCTCAATTTCTCCAAAAGTTACCAATGTCATGAAATGCCAAATCAGAAAAAAGAATACAAAAGGGTTCACTCCTTCCTAGAAATACCAACGTCAAAGTGTTTTCAGTGCACTTCAACAGTATTTTCAATTTAATTAAAATTCCAACAACCCACAACCAATTCTAATCAGAATACAAACCAAAATTTAGCATCGCGAGAATCAAAATTCCATCTGTAATCCCAAAAAATTGCAGTACAAGACCAAATAAAAACTTGCATCAGGAAACTGAAACAAAAAAATATACAGAGACGAGTTGAAGGGAGAGAGCCTAGATTGAGAGTGATCATAGCCAAAAGTTGCAGAGAAACATTTCCCATTTGGGCGTTTTGGTGTTAGATAGAGCCCACTACCAAGCAAAAACGAATGCACACAAAATCAACCCGACTTCCATAAGAACAGAATTTGGTCATGACACAAGATAAATGACACCAAATAAGCCTTATCCATACTAACACGATACAACATAATTGACACCGAATAAGCTTTACTGCAGAACATACACTTCTCTTCAGATATCCATAAAATTAATGTTAATCCGCAAAAGATATAACACAATCTCTCAAGACTAGTGGCCAAAGAACAGATTGTTTTGACATTAAAAATCTAGCAAAAATGCTTGAGACAAAGTATAGAAACGATATTTCCCCTATTATTTTTCACACCTTTCAGTTATTCAAGTGGCATAGAGTTTCCCACCTTAAGATCAGTTCTACTTTTCGATTGCAGATGGGGATGGAGGGTGAAGAAGAGCAGCAGCATAACATGATTGTACGGTACCAGCATGGTGTCGTCGAAGAAAATTACAACATCAAATTCTTCTCCATAATTGAAAAAATATTAGCTTACCATTTCATGTTTGCTACTTTACAATTTACAGGAGGTACTTGGATAATTCTAAGAAATGGACATCAAAATAATAACTACCATGATAACATTTGTAAGGTGGATGCTCTTTGAAAGTGTAACATGATCACCCAAGTCAAGCACCTTCGGGCACATCTTCGAAATGTTGCCACGGATCCTCTACATGTTTGCTTTCCTTTCCCACCTTTCCTTTGTGTCAAGCCTAGCAACACAGTAGCATTAGATAAAAATTCCAATATACGAAATAATATCTTTGGTCAATGATAACATTTATTGCTACTTTTGTTATATATATGGATATTACTACGCATGCATATCATACCCCCAATGTAACTTGTGGCTCTTCTTTGGAGCCCGGACTGCTATATCCTCATGCTGTACAACAGAACTGGTTTCATTCTTGTGGTTCTCAGAGTCACAGACGGTTGAAGTTTCAAGTGTTATGACTGAATCTTGGTTTGCAGTATCTCTAGCAGTCAGGTCTATGCTGTGAGATTTTCCTTTACTATCTGTAATTCCTCTAAAATTAGACACAAAAAATAAACTTGTACAGCAGAGATAACAAACATGACTGAGGAAACCAAGGAACCTTTTGGTTTCTTTCCCATCTTTGATTTTGATTTGATCTGTAACCTCCTCTGGTGCAGCTCCTATAATGTTCATGAGTTTAAGTATGTAGAAGCAATTCAAGTGCTAAACAAAGATAAACGAAAGAATACCGGATAAGTGGAGAAAGTAATTAATGCTCCTTCAGCATCGTAAGTTCCCTCCAGCAGTCTATTGTTACTACCCCAAAGGCTGAGGATCTTTTAATAAGCAGTCCAAAACCTCAGGTGACAAGATAGGAAACCAGAGACCAGAAAGTATCATGAACTTTTAGCAGATACATAAATACTTGCAGTTTCCTAACTTGTGAGGTTGTAAATGGGTCCTGTCTAATTGTGCGCGCTAATTCAGGAGATAATTTTACTTGTACCACGAACACTCTGCCACATTGTGTACTATTTCACATGTATGAGTTCTAGGGTAGTTAAGTTAAAACAAATACGTGTGATATAATTTGAGTGGAATAGTAGGACCACATGGTAATGTTACTGGCACATCGAAAAATCTCTCCTAGTTAAGGTTTTTGCCCCCTCACCCGTCTTCCCACCCAAGACAGACACGAGGGACCCAAATGAAGGGAGGCTTTACCCCTTGTGTCGGTCTTGGGTGAGCGAATGGTGACTTGGCACAGCTGCCAGCACCCAAGAATCCTTCCTAGTTCAGAGGTGGTCAGCACCCACTGATTTCCGTTAGACGTGTCTGATTTAATCATTCTACAGCACAAATAGTGAGATTCAAACTCATTGACGGCAATCAATGGGTGGTGAGTATACCACCACCACTAAAGAGTGGTGAGCAAAAATTCATCTTTTAATGAAGATTATAACATATTCAGGAGCGGTTAAATCAACAATTACCCAACCCAATGAAAGCTCAGAGGCAGCCTAACAATCAAAACAAACTAAAACGGCGAAAAGATGATAGAACTAGCAGCAGTCTCAAGTACCCAATTAAATTGATTGTTCGATCAGAGCTTCAAACAACAGAACAAACAATGCACAAACAAAACAGAGACCAAAGTGGCCGTCTTCCCACCCAAGATAGACACGGGGGACCCGAATGAAGGGAGGGTTTATCCCTTGTGTCGGTCTTGGGTGAGCGAATGGTGACTTGGCACAGCTCCCAGCACCCAAGAATCTTTCCTAGTTCAGAGGTGGTCAGCACCCACTGATTTCCGTTAGATGTGTCTGATTTAATCATTCTACTACAAAAATATTGAGATTCAAACTCATCGACGGCAATCAATGGGTGGTGAGTATACCACCACCACTAAAGAGTGGTGAGCAAAAACTCATCTTTTAATGAAGATTATAACATATTAAGGAGCGGTTAAATCAACAATTACCCAACCTAATGAAAGCTCAGAGGCAGCCTAACAATCAAAACAAACTAAAACGGTGAAAAGATGATAGAACTAGCAGCAGCTACAAGGACCCAATTAAACTGATTGTTCGATCAGAGCTTCAAATAATAGAACAAAAAATGCACAAACAAAACAGAGACCAAAGTGGCGGTGGTGGCGAGAGTACCTGGAACTTGGATAGCTGGGTTTGGGTGAGGGATTTGGGCTTGTAATTGGGCTGCAGACACGGCGTGGATGCGATTGCTGCTTCCTTTCTCTCGTCTTCCTTGTCTCCTTCCTTTCCCATCCCCGCTTTTCTTCCGCTTCCCTATTTTCTTTGGGTTTCGTACGCCCTTCCTGTAATACGCGGATGCTTATTATATTTTCCGGGTAATCGGAGTACTTGAACCACCCGACTTATTTAGAGTCTTTTTTGGGTATTTATCAAATATTGCCCAAAATTAGCCTGTAATTTTTAAAATGTTAGCTTTTATAAAAATTTTCATATACATCTATATTCCACTTACATAGACATAAATAGCTTCAGTTTATATGAATAATTAATATTTTTTTTACAGATGATATCATCTACACTAACTAAAAAACTTCTTGTGCAATAATCAAGAGTTGCTCTCACTAATATTTGTTTTCTTGTTTTTTTTTTAAACGAAGCAAATGTTTCTCTCAACTTTATTTTTTAATAAATAATAATAAAAAAAACTTTAGTGAGAGCTCTAGTTGCTGGCAGTCTTGCAGCAATATTTTAATTTGTGCTTAATCTGTTTACTCTTTACAATGTTCTTAATCCTCTCTTTGTGGTAAAACCTAATTAATTAGCATGAGAATTCTGTTGGTTAATTTCCTTAATTTTTGTCTTGCTCAACATTTATGCTTTTCTTAAGTAAAAAGCTAGTATGTAATATCGTACTTGAAGGGCAGCTTGGAATTATGAAGAAAGATTGAGAGAAACCTTTGTTCTTCATTTGGAAAAGAAACGAACAAAAAAGAAGAAAATATTATTGAGAGCAACACTTGATTATAGCACAAGAAGTTTTTTAGTTAACAATTAGTTAGTCATATAAACTGAGGGTATTTGTGTTTATTTAAATGAAATTTTAGATATATTTGAAAGTTTTTATAAAAACTGACATTTTTGAAATTAAGGGTTAATTTTTTGTTATATTTGACAAATTTTCATTTTTTTAAGCCTCATAATGAGCTAGCAATAATATGGTTCAAATTCGTTTTTGGCAAAAATCGAACCTAAGACCTCTAACTTACAAGTGAACAAGAATACTACTAGACCATAGTACTAAAAGACTATTCATAGATTTTATTTTGAGGCATTTGTTGGTTTGCCCCTGAACTTGTACAGAGGTCAATTTCCCATAAAATTTTATAAATAAAAAATTCCCCCCAGCATTAGATTTTAAAATTTTCATCCAATTTTCATCCATCCAATTTTTCATTCTTTTTACCCCATATAGTTGTCATGCGTTGTATGTGCGATCAAAATGGATGAAAAATTGGACGGAATTTTTTTAAATCTAACATCAAGGGAAGAATTAGCTATTTATAAATGTTCAGGTGTGAAATATCGTCTCCAGATTTCACTATTTAAAATTACATATTTCATATTCTTTGTTTCTACGCGTTTATAATTATGGCGTATAGTTTTTTTTTTTCAATAAGTAAAAGGACAAAAATGCCTTTAATGAATTAAACGGACTTTTCGAGGACATATTTAATTCCTATTTGTTTTGTCACTTTTATTTACATATTTGGATAAAGTTCAACCTCACAAGTGAGTAGGCGAAAACAGTTCGATAAACGAAGCTATAATGAATGAGATATCAACGAGTAAAGACAGGGGTGAAATGGTCATTTAACCATTATCTGGAAGGCTCTAGATTTGCTGGAGCACTGATTTGGTGCCACGTATGTGGCTAGGATGGATAGATGAGGAGAGAAATGAGGGAAATGAGGGAAATGAGGGAGACTCGACCCGACTCCTACTCTTATTCTGACGTCTTTTTAGGTAGTTTTTCCTGCGATTCACAGCCATCCACTACCTGGAAACAACTCAACATCAACCCCTCTTTCATATTCAACCAAAAATCGAAGAGATGGGCCTCGGTTGCATGATGAACCGCACTGGAGGGGTACGATGGTTCGTTGCCGGCAATCCACCATTACTGAAGGTGATTCCTTCAATCATCACCACCAAAATACTCCTCTTAAGCCCAGGAACAATCCCCAAACAAGTTTAGGGGCACACGGAGCACCAAAGAGTACGAATTGAAATGTATCCATTTCAAGGGTTTCCAATGAATTGAGGAGATTTTAGGCGTTTTCCCAGCCGAATTGGACCTCCACTCAGGTATCAAACTTATTCCTTTCTTCACGATCCTTATTTTGGTATAATTTGAGAATTTTTGGAGTTAGGTGTACTTTCCAGCGAGTTGGGGCGGCCAGCCGCCGCTTGTGGAGCCGCTGGCCCAAAGACCCACTTGACCCTTCTAGGCTAAATTTGATACCTCAATTCCATATGTGACCTCCTATGGATGAAATCCCATCATTCAAACATAGTTTTGTTAGGATTTGCCTCTTGATCATTATAACCATCAACGATTTGACCATTCGATCGTCACCAAACTTTAATGTGTTATAGCACGTAATATTTGAGGACATTAGAAATTGACGGATTGGAAATCCATGGGTGGATGTTCCGGATCGAATTATGTTGAGTTGTGGACCCCATCGTTGACCAAGAGTTGACTTTTGGTCAACATGTTTCAAACCGTTCTTAAATACTAAAATTAGTACTACTGGGGACTAAGTGAAGTCTAGTAGGCCTACATTGGTTAGTGAGTGCCTATAATATATGTGATGTGGTTATTACCTTGATTTCATATTTAGTATCCTTGTGGATATTACTTGATTTTATAAAAGTGATTTCTATTGAAATGTGATTTGTATATTTAGCCATCTATCTATGTTCATTAAATGTGATTTGACTTGTGTGATGAAGATGTTTGTGAAATGTGATTTGAAGTGCTTATTAATTGTTTGATGAAATGTGAGGGCTAGTAGTGAACCTTTAACCCTTTGTCATGGGGTTTGTTGCTTCGAAGCTTGTTACATATCTCATTCCATTGTTTCATTTCTTGTATCGTTGAGTCGTTCTAAATTGAGTAACTTGATTCATGTCAGGTTTCTTTGAGTCGTCGATATGTTTCTTGGACTTCCGCTCAGTTCCGTTGAGTGGTCCGGAATTAGGTTTTGCTGGGGTTTCGTTGAGTGGCCCGGTTCCCCGCTCTGCCTGGATTCTGTTGAGTGGTCCAGAATCCCTCGTGCTCTGCAGTTCTGTTGAGTGGTCCGGAATCATATCTTGCTTTGGATTTCATTGAGTGGTCCAATATCCATTGTACTCCGCGATTCCGTTGAGTGGTCTGGAATCGTATCCACTTGGATTCCGTTGAGAGGTCCAAAATCCCTTCTACTTTGCGATTTCGTTAAGTGGTCTAGAATTGTATCCTGGTTTGGATTCCGTTGAGTGGTCCAAAATCCCGATTGGTATTTTGGTTCCGTTGAGTGGTCTGGAACTTGATGTTGTTAGATTTCGTTGAGTGCTCCGAAATCACATCATTAACTTCGTTGATTCGTTGGATTCAGTCTAAATTGAGAAAGCTTCAAAGATGTAGGCTTTGGCCAAACTATGTTGTTCTAGACCTGGATTTTGGTGTATTGTATGTGTTATTGACTGATATGATTGTGGAATGATGTTGGAAAGCACATGTGTGTGTGAATGACAAGATGACAACTCTTGTTTGGCTTATGGTTGATGTGTAGTGTGGTACTCTATGTTTTTTTTGCTAGAAAGTGTTTTACGAAAAGTTCAGAGTTTAACAAATGGTGAACAACAAATGGCTTGATCCTTATTTAGGGTACATAGGCAGTCTAACGAGGAGGTTAGATGCAGCCATAAAGTAAATGAAAAATTACTACATAATTGGACCTTGAGTGGTGTTTTGTCCATGTCTCAGAGGCGAGACATGATAGATATACTGGTACATGGTGAAGTCACCTGTCGATCTTGGACGTATATCGGGATTGGGGCTTGACATCAGGGGGTAATCGGCTAAAATTAAAGTTCAAGGAGAAATTGGCTAATTATAAAAGCTCAAGAGGGTAATCGGCTAAAATTAAAGTTTAAAGGAGAAATTGACAACTTTATACAAGTTTGAGGCACAAGCTGACAAATATGCCTTTTTGTTTTGTTATTTATTTATGTTTGGAGTTTTTTAATTAATTTTTTATACAGTCATATATTTAAACTAAGCAAATAAATTGAAATCAAGCTCGTCATTCGTAAAATTCAAACATACCTCTCACTTACAAATGAATAATAATACAACTAGACCCTAATATTAAGTGACATGTTTTCAAATTGTTATTAGCAATCAAAATATAACAAATTTGCAGGTTTAGAAGATCGGATCACTCGACAGTCCTGATACAAAACTAGTTCACCCAATACACTCATGCTCGTATTTTGGCCCATCATTCACCCCCTAGACCCACCTTATGTGTCTTTAACCGAATAGTCACTTGGTCCGGTCGTTCTAAGTTTAAAGTATGTCCTCAAAGTAGTCTTCATTGTACGAACATCTACACCTTTATCGTCTAGGATTATCTTAGATTGAATAACTTATTAGATTTAGTGAATCTTGAATGAAAAAAAATTAATGATAACTTACACATTGAATCACAAAATAAACTTATCCCTCGTCATTCAATACTAAGGGTCAGTTTGGGATTGTTGTGTTTTTATTTTTTAAAGTTATTTCTGCTATACTTTAAGAATAATCATCGGCAAAATAAAACAGTTGAACGTTTGGTAAACTATATTTTTAAAAGTGATGTAATTTTATATAATGAAAAAATGGATATGGTAGTCAAGAGTGATCACAAATTTGGCAATGACAGCGGTGGTGATGGTGGCAGTGATAGCAGTGGTGATGCATCGACAAAGGTGGGGGTACGGTGGTGGTGTCAATAGTGGGGTGTGGTGGTTGGGGTGTAAAGGTAACAATGGTGGTAAGGGCGACGACAACGGTACTGGGAGTTGTAGTTGTGGTTGTGGTGGTGGCGGTTGCGGTGGTGGTGGTGGTGGCGGTAGCAATGATGGCGGTGTAGGTGGTAAAAAAATGATGGCGGCGGCGGTAGTGGCAATGGTGGTGGTGCAGTTATGATGATGGTGATGGTAGCAGTAGTGTTAGATTAGCTTTGTAATGGTAGATCATGGCGGTCATTTCGTTTACCAATGGGTAAAATGTGCGTAGAAGGTTACATAATGTCATTTAAAAAAATTAATGAGTGTATTACAGGAATT